GCTGCTCCCTGTTACGATATGCAGATTGTTACAGTAGGGCAGAGAGAGTCATGGAAGAAAGAGCCCAGCGTGAAGAGGGGGGGAGTCATGTTTGATCCCAGACACTGCCATTTGCAGTGATGTGGACAAGGCACTTAACATTTCTGAGCATCTTTTTTAAAAAAAGTCTTTAAAAAACTCTTTGAAAAAGAAAGAGGACACTAATGAACTCATCTACAAAAGAAACAGACTCACAGACATAGTAAATAATCTTGTGGTTACCGGGGAAAGGAGGGTGGGAAGGGATAAATTTGGGAGTCTGAGATTTGCAAATGTTAGCCACTATATATAAAAATAGATAAAAACCAAATTTCTTCTGTATAGCACAGAGAACCAGATTCAATATCTTGTAATAACCTTTAACGAAAAAGAATGTGAAAGTGAATATATGTATATATTCATATATATGAATATATGTATATACTGGGACATTATGCTGTACACCAGAAATTGACATATTGGAACTGAGTATACTTCAATTAAAAAAAAAGTCATAGGAATAGCGTGAATGCTTGTATCATATGTATTGATGAAATAACATTATACAATAGTATATGTATAATATTTAATATATATATACACATATAATGTTACATAATTATATATATGTGAAATATTATAATATACATAATGAATAATACAGAGCACTAGGACTTTCCAGGGTGTGGGTCTTCTCCCTGTAGGAATATAGCTACTTAGCTAACCCACTATTATTTTATTTTATTTTATTTTATTTTATTTTATTTTATTTTATTTTATTTTATTTTATTATTTTTTTTTGGAGTAGGAGGTAATTAGGTTTTTATTTATTTATTCATAATAGAAGTACTGGGAATTGAACCTAGGACCCCATGCATGCTAAGCATGTGCTCTACCACTGAGCTATACCTGCCTCCCTTTTTGTAAAACTTTATTTTCACTCACTATTTATAGCTATCCATGAGGACAATGTTGAAGTTAGAATAGACCCAGAAAGCCCAGAACATTAGCACTGGTGCATGTTTGTCAGTTCAGCGTCAGTGAACTGGCCCCTGTCCTGTTTCCTGAATTATCACAATGAGAACCAACTGGACCCAAAATAGACTTTGGGACTTAGCAGTTGGTAATTCTTACTAGTAATGGTAATTTCAGTGCTGTGGGGATTTCAGCCGAAGACCTCCCTACCTAGCTGTTGACTTATGATCACGTATAGCATTCATTCAGGATATGCTTGTGCCCTAAAGGCACTGATGACGCCCTTCATCTTTCCACCTGTTTCCTTCTTTGGTTTCAGCTCCGTCCGAGATCACTTTCGCCATTGATGTTGGGAATGGCCCCATAGAGCTCGTAGTTCAGTCTCCTTCCGTTCTGAACGACAACCAGTGGCATTACATCCGAGCCGAGAGGAACCTCAAGGAGACCTCGCTCCAGGTGGACAGCCTCCCGAGGGTGACCAGGGAGACGTCAGAGGAGGGCCACTTCCGACTACAGCTCAACAGCCAGCTGTTTGTAGGTAAGAGACATCCTAGGGCACCCTTTGTGCTGAATGCCCTACAGGACCCCTGTGTGACCAGGACCAAGGATGATTACTATTTTACTGTAGACTTCGGACATTATTAGACTATTTCATAAAGAATTTATAATTGTAAATTTAATTGTACAGGTTCCTCCTTTCTAGATCTACAGCAAAGGGAAGATGATACCATCCCTTAGCAAATTTTGAGGGGGTCTCAGATTCTTTTGGTATCTTTTCTTCTTGTTCATGTTATATCTTCAGAGATCCAAGGATTTCTGTTATTTTTCATCCTTATAATCAAAGTCTACTCTTAGAAAAAGGACGTTCCAGCTACTTACACCTTAGGAAGTGATCACTCTAATTCACTGGGACATCCTTCACCCTTTCTTTTTTTTTCTGCTTTTTCTTAACATTTTTTATTGATTTATAATCATTTTACAATGTTGTGTCAAATTCCAGTGTTCAGCACAATTTTTCAGTCATTCATGGACATATACACACTCATTGTCACATTTTTTTCTCTGTGATTTATCATAACATTTTGTGTATATTTCCCTGGGCTATACAGTGTAATCTTGTTTATCTATTCTACAATTTTGAAATCCCAGTCTGTCCCTTCCCACCCTCTGCCCCCGTGGTAACCACAAGTCTGTATTCTCTGTCCATGAGTCTATTTCTGTCCTGTATTTATGCTTTGTTTTTGTTTGTTTGATTGTTTTTGTTTTTGTTTTTTTAGATTCCACATATGAGCGATCTCATATGGTATTTTTCTTTCTCTTTCTGGCTTACTTCACTTAGAATGACATTCTCTAGGAGCATCCATGTTGCTGCAAATGGCGTTATGTTGTCGGTTTTTATGGCTGAGTAGTATTCCATTGTATAAATATACCTTCACCCTTTCTAGTGATACCTAACTCCTGGTAATTACTGATAACCATGTAGTGAACTATGTTACAGCACCGCAAAGGGATTTTGGTCATCAGTAGTATGGTGGGGGAAGGGACTGCTGGTTTCCAGACCAGGAGCTTTGACTCTCCCTGAGATCACATCACTGAGGCAGCTGCCTTACACTTGCACAACCCTGGAATGTCCCCAAGCAGACATCTTTCCATTGGTCGATCTCCATGAGACTCAGAATCAGCCTTTAGACAAGTCGTTCAACTGAACTGGTTGCCACCAGCTGGTGGTGGGGACTGGAAAGGCTGAAACATCATTCACTGAGTCAGTCCTTCCTTCCTTCCTTCCTTCCTTCCTTCCTTCCTTCCTTCCTTCCTTCCTTCCTTCCTTCCTTTATTTCAGAAATAGTGAGCACCTAAAACAAGTCAGGCACCTTGTTGGATCACTGGGATTGCAAGAGAGATTGGACAATGGCATTAATTTTCAAAGGGCTCATGGTTCTGTGTGTGTCTGTGTGTGTGTGTGTGGTGTGTGTGTGTGTTTGTGTGTGTGTGTGTTGTGGTAGAGAGAAAGAGACAGAAGGACATAGAGACAGAGAGAGAGAACTTAGCCATATTAGCCCAGGTAGGAACAGTCAGCCTTATAGGTATAATATAAAAAAGGATTTTTTGAAATTCCCTTGAGCAGGGCTGGTATAGCTTTAAAGGAAAAAGCAGAGAAGCGCATGTTAGGGGTAATGTAATTTTATCAAAGCCAAGAGGCTGCTCTTCTATAAAACTTAGAGTTCAGATACTTAGAACAGTGGTATGAATAAGTTCCAAAATTTGGCAATATACCCAGATTTAATTTTCTTTCCTTATTTATTTATTTTACCAACTCATACAGCATAGCTTTACTGCTAGTAATGAAATGCCATTAGCACTCAATGGGTGTTTCTTACTTGCTTCTTTTAAATTTGGATCTGCACAACTTGTAAGTCTGAGAAAAATCGTCATTAAAAACACACCAGCTAAAAGGAAGGTAGTAACAGAATATATCATATTGCTCTTCCCAACAAGAATCAGATTTCTTTCTTCATCTGTCATGTTTTACATAGCCAGCAGAAGCAAAGATATAAGTGATTAAAAACATTTTTATGATTAAAAGACATTCACTTCATTAACCTACATAAGTGACATGATTTACTATTAAAATATTTTTTTAAAATTTATGTTGATGTTTTAATTCTATTTAAGCATCCCATTTTATTTCTCTGAATAAGTTTGCTAGCCATCAAGATTTAATGTCTTTTTTGGTGTAATCAGTTCAAGTAGTTCGCAATTTTCATAAATTTTATTCCATGCTGGAGTTTAATTTATCTTTGGGCTACGTTTATGACTCTTTCTGGCTGAAAGGTGTATATTGAGGTGGAATTATTTTTTTTAATCACTTCATGCAAACTTCATGTGGCTCTGAAATTATCATATGGCCTGAATATGTGATAAACTTTGCGCAAGTCAAAAGAGAAAAGAGGCAGCTGTGTTTCCTTGCAGGTTTTCCTCTCCAGACATTTCCATCAAATTGATCACAGATGCAGTGTGTCCTGAGAGCACGTCGATGGGTCTGTGGGAGATGTTGGCTCGGGCTGGAGCCAAGGTTGGCTGTAGCAAGAGCTCCTACTTTTTTTGTATTTGTCTCCAATGAGTTCCATCTCAGATGTTACTCCACTTTATTGAATTTGTCTTAATGTACTTGAAGAAGACAAAAAATGCTGTTGGAGGTCATTTTAGCCTGTTGGCTTGAATTTCGTTGTTTCGTGTTCAGCAATATGTCCATTTAGAAATGTCACGTGGCCAAAAAAACCTACAGAAGTCCCAGTAATTCCAATGTGTTTGATTCAGTGTTTTATTTTTCTTTTCAAGCCCCCTGCTCAGGTATAGTAGTCAAATGATGAATCCTATTTCCTTTCATTCAGAGATTTAGAGACACTGGATTTTTGTATTTGCTAGGCAGAAAAAGATATGATTGTTGTGCACTCTGTTACTGAGATAGATTGAATGTGGCAGTACGTAAATATTAATTTGGATATGTTTGTCTCGATGCCTTTAAACAAGGAAGGATCTTTCCATCCAAACAGCATCCTTCTGCCAGGAAACCATGGACACCACTGTTGTGCTGGCGAGTGCTTCCTGAGTACCCGAAACACGTTGAATTGGATACAATCTATGTACCTCTTCTCACTGCCCCTGTCACTGGATTCCTGGAATCAACATTTTAACTTCAGGCTTTTGCCACTGTGATGGTTAGGGACATTTGCAACCATGCCACTTCACTGGGCCCATTTCTTTAATAGGGTAGGAGAAACTGCAGAACACGGAACTTCTGAAACGTCTCATGTTTGTCTCATCTTTAAAACTCCTGGGGATATTGCCCCTCTGCTTTGCTGTTCCCTGCTGGCTCTGCCGGCCCATCTGAGGGTGCAGCAGGAGGAGCCGAGAACTGGCCCCTACAGGGGAAAGTGAATAGCGAGAGCTGGGTGTGGACCCCAGGTCGACTGTCAGCAGGAGATGGGACCCTGGCGGAACAATTGTCGTCACTGTCATTCTCTGAAGGATGAACATAGTCAGGCAGCTGCTTTCTTACAATCTGAGGATCTGCTCCCTCCGTGTGTGTTCGGAGTGACCATCGTCCTTGTCTTCATGCCCAGGGAGATGGAAAAGCAAGGAAAATAGCTCATTTTCCCCAATCGGGACAGCCCATCTTTCCAAGTAGGCTGCAGTTACAGGATGGACGGTTTGTCAAGACATGGACCAGTGAGTCTCATTTTTGGGTGACTTTACTTCTGACCCTTTTTGCCTTTTCATGGATTTCTTTTTCTTCCTTCCTTCCTTCCTTCCTTCCTTCCTTCCTTCCTTCCTTCCTTCCTTCCTTCCTTCCTTCCTTCCTTCCTCTCTCTTCTTTCTTTCTTTCTTTCTTTTCCTGGTTACACCAGCTCAGTGGCACCTTTTTCTTCCCCTCCTTTGTTGGTCCAATGCCAAAGTAAACTAAAATCACTCTCAACTTATAACTCCTTGGGGAAAATACTGCACTGATCTGATAAATCATAAAGTTAGAAAGACTCCCCCAGCCCGCCCAGTGCTGCTCCAGCTTCTGCACTGATTGGCAGTCATGACTCCTATTTTCAGGTGAAGCACATCAGACTGGGCATGGTCAGCGGTGAAGCCGGCCAGACAAGCACACCTTCACATCATCAGTTGGTGCTTGGTGGCAACATGCGTCCCCAAGGATAAACTGTCAAGAGTCTCTCTGTGGAGTAGTCACTTCTATTTGTCCTCATAAGTGCCCCCCATGGGGGGCTTTCCTAACACAGGCCAGCAGGGTTTTCTGTCTGAGAAGATGTAATATGTCTCACAGCTCAGGAGAAGGGATAATTCCTCACATTAAGGAATAACTGGGAAACCACCTTTTAGCCCATCTTTTATATAAAACCATTGTGCGTGGAGGAGGGTACGTATTGTTGTGTCAGTGGTGAGACAAAACAGGGGAGAACTAGTTGTCTTCTCAGCATCCTAAAAATTTCTGATGAGCAGGTCTGATTCACCCAAAGTTTATATTTTCAAAATTAAATATATCAAGTACACTTGAATCATTTCCCTTAGTTTAAAAAAAATACATGATTTCTGACGTCCTCCATAATAGCTAAATAAAAGAAAATGTTCTGATTTGTTTAAGAAGTTGACAAGAGACCTCAGAAGCTTCGTGGACAAGTCCCACAAAGGCTTTAATTCCTTGTTACTCAGTGACCAGCAGTCACTCAATTAATGCTTCTCCAATGGGGGAGAAATAACGATGAAAATGTACCTGATTTCCCACGCGTTTTTCTTCACCAACACCCCTGCTCCACAAAATCAGGCTCTTCTAGCTTGAAAGTGCTTTGAAAGAACGTTAGTTCTTTTTAGTTTCAGAGAAGTGACTGATTAAATGACCCCTTCCACGAAATGTTGTCTCACCTTGAAGACGTTGAAAGTTGAACACAATTAACCCATCCCGATAGCCCGTGTTAGTGTCTGACGCCCCCTAATTTTCCACAAACTTTTTGAAATGTTTATGCAACAGTCTCT